ACTGCTTTTTGAATTTCGAAGGATAGAATTTTTGAATTTTTTGACTTCCTTGCGTTCATCGACGCTCTTGCAACTGTCTGTTGGCTATGTTTTATTGTTCCGACCAGTCCTAGGGGGTGGGAACTAACTTTCGCGTAGGGTGTCTATTCTTCACTATTTTGACAACCTCAAGAAAATCACCTAGGGGGTCAATTGTGGTATCATAGTTGAGCCCTTTTAGCCGTAATTCGGATTTCAAGACAATTGGAGAACAGTTTGGGGAGAATATTGAGATTGGGAGATAAAATAGTGAAAGAGTGAGCCCTCTATCCAATTCTTCTGCCTTTCAAACTAGTTTCAGCTATTATCATTGCAATCTAATAGATTATTATTCAGTTGCACCCAAGGCTCTTGAATTTTTCAAGTTAACAATTTTTGACTTTGTTTTTCTGTTGATATTTTAGTTGCTGTTTTTAGTTAACTGTGGTTGTAGCATTATGCGCTACTTGAAAATAGACCAAATCAAGGCCAATTTTAAGAAAACGAACTAAAATTCCATTTTTTGAGCTCCTTATAGAAGACCTGGATAGAAAATGGCCTGTTTCGGTGCGCTCTCGCTTCTAAGTAGGCATATCTTAGCGATGCACATTCCTTAGAAAATTTTGAGCGTAGTCGAGCAAAAATGAGAGTCTCAAAAAATTACATAAGGAAAAAGCCGTAGGGTGTTCAGGAGGTTGAATTTCTGAAACCTACTTCTGAGTCAATCTCACCACAACTGACTCCGCCAGTGTTATTAGCTCATCAGATTTCGTTTTCTCTGCTCTAGGCCGCTTTTTAATTTTTCTCTGGTCGTGCAAGGTGTAGCATATTCGTAAGGTACCGTACAAACTTTCGATAGGTCAAATATCCTACAAAACTAGTGCATACATCCGAAAAACAGCTATGCTAGGGCAAACATCCCACAATTTTTTTTCACAAATTAGAGCAAATATCCTGCTCAGAATATGCTTTTTTGCCGAATTTAGTTTACTAAGCTCGATAACACTGAACCAATAGAAGTTTATCAAGAGCAGGAGATTCAGGTGAGTCTTTTAAATATCCCAAATTTTCATTCAAGACCTTGAATTCTTCTTTTGCATTTATATTAGAGCTCATTTGTTTTCTAAATAGGAAGCCGGTTAGGTGAACAGTGTTGCTTTTCAACTTTCTGCGTCATATTTTTTCGAAATTTTGATGAAAGTTCGGATGTTTGCACCAGACTCATATTCGTAGTTGCATTTGATTCCGTTTTGTTTAGCTGACTTGTTAGCTTAACTTCCATTCGCAATCATAAGACATAATTTACCCAATTAGGGGCTGCTGTGAGTGTATTATGGGGCTGAACAATATAAGGGGAATCGTTATTTGCGTTGAGGATGGGGGGAGAGAGGGGTGGGGGGGGGGGGGGTGGTTTGATTTGAAGTTGTAAATGAAATTTGCCAGACTGGAGGAAATTGGATCGATTAGCTCAGTCCGCCTCCGACAAGACTGATGATTTTTTCTACTTTAATTCCTTTTTATGGGTGCCGGACATCAAGCCGACGGGACTTCAAGCCGAATCGTAAAATAAGGGACTTCAAGCCGAAAATTAAGTGATGAAATAGGATTAATTTGAAAACCTTTTTAAAGAATTTCCTACTTTTATGATCTTTTTTCAGTAATTAATGGCTTTTTCATAAAATTTAAGCCTCGAAATGATGTTTAGGAAAGTTGAAATATAAAACACGGTTGAAGGCAATTTTCTTGTTTATAATTTATGCATTTCAAAAACCGTCTGAAATTATTAACGAATGCCAATCCTAAGTGATTCATTGTCATGAATAACGCTTATTATGGAAAATCTTGCCTAAATTTTTGAAAAGCAACGTTTTACTTATGAAAAAATTGTAATTTGAGGTGCTTGTAAAGTTTAAATTTCGGCCTGAAGTCCCTTCGGCTTGAAGTCCCGTCGGCTTGTTGTCCTAGACCCCCTTTTTATGGCCCTTCCCTTCCTCCTGCGACTCCAAATTGCAACTAAGTAGTGAGAGTTAAGGTGCCTTTTCATGTGCATCCAATTTAGATAAATCAAGTAAAGGAGATGATATGGTATCAGGTTCAGAAATTGCTTCTATTTTCGTCAAATCTACTAGTGTGTGAAACCTAATTTCAAATTCGATTCCTTTTTTAAATTAATCTTGGCTTTTTCGCGGAAATTTTTACAATAATCTTTCTAATCGGTGCATTTAATACTCCGATGTGTGTAAGAGAGAAAGTAGCAGTAATACCATGTTGGACACGCTATTTGCTTCGGTCTTTAATTGTTGCCCTTTTGTATGCCCATTCATTTTGATAGCCATTTTTTGTTAAGGTCATTCCTTCTTTGGTACTATTTACTTTTACGCTAAGCAAGCGTTATCAAACCTGAACACGGATAAAAACTCGTGTAACCGAATAGTTCTGATCATTTGATGGATTGATTTTGATTCAAATGAAATTCAAGGGCTTACGCGTCATAAATGTGAGATAACGTTCATGCCTGGGACGACAAAGGTTCATGGTTCGAATGTGGCCAGGATCTTTTCTTTTTGTAAACGGAATATTTTCAGTCTGAAAAAGTGTTAGACTGTTGTTTGTCTGCTTATTATTGTTTGCCGGTGTACTTGTCACATCATTTTGTTGAACAATTTTCTCTAAAACTGAAAAGCTATTCGATGAAGAAAAGTAATGGAGGATTTAATTGGGGGACCGATCGTTTAGCAGGTCAATTTTTTTAAATGTGAGATAACGTTCATGCCTGGGACTACAAAGGTTCATGGTTCGAATGTGGCCAGGACTTTTTCTTTTTGAAAACGGAACATCTTCAGAGCTCAACATTTTCAATTGCTCAACATTTTCTCGACCTTTTCGTTTTGTAAACAGAACATTTTCAGTCTGAAAAAGTGTTAGACTGTTGTTTGTCTGCCTATTATTGTTTGCCGGTCACATCATTTTGTTGAGGAGTTTTCTCTAAAACTGAAAAGCTGTTCGATGAAGAAAAGTAATGGAGGATTTAATTGGGGGACCGATCGTTTAGCAGGTCAATTTTTAAACATAAAAAGTAAAAAATGAGTCTTTTGGCAGACCAACGCAATAAACGGATGCATGGTTGATTGACAGACTCAAAAAGACGCTCAGTCTTGGGCCAAGCTTCCCCAATTAAGACAATTATCTGACGATTTATCAACAAAACTATCAACTTCAAAAACACAAGTCTAAACTAGCGGCAAAACAATGTGCTACGCGCACAAAATTACTCGTGTTGGGTGGAAGCGCAGCGGAGCAAGCGGTCGCTAATCGCCAATGCTGCGTTTGAAGTTAGCTTTCTGACTTGCTAATTGCTCTGGGTCTGCTAAAAGATTGGTCTGCTGAAAAACCAGTCTGCTTAAATGCCTAGCACCAATTAATTGGGTTTGACGAAAATGCGTTTTTGTTCAAACTTCTGTGTTTCATTGACTATAGACTGCATATAACATTTTTCGTCAAAGTCGATGAACGTAAATCAGACTCTTATTTCGGTCGCAATTTTTTTTTTTAGGAAGACTTGAAATTTGTTCGGGCTCAAATTTACTTTTTCGCGGTTTGACTTTTGATTTCATTCTAAGCTTGATTCATTTCCTTTGTTTACACTTGCGAAGCGAGTGTATTAGTAGGAACTTTCTTATTTTTTTTCAACCTAAATCCCAAATATTGGTGCGGCACCCCAATAAAGGCGGGGCACCTTTACAGCTTTTTGATAGCATGTGCCTTGACATTCGGATAGTAATAAATTAACACAGTTGTTGCGTTTTTAATTCGTCAAATGAACCGAAAAAAAGCTATTTGTTTCAAACAACGTCACAATAACAATAAAAACTCGATTTCAGAAATTTTCCAACTCAATATATTTCGCAGTTTTTTTGAGATGCATAGTTTACAAATAATGGGGCTTTATGCTTTGCGATTTGTTGCATGAAAAGTTAGTGTGTATACCTTCAATTTGTTATGTTCAATTTATTAATTGCAAAATTGAGTCTATAGGAATTTGGTGCTGAATGGCATTGGCAATTTGTTAGCATATAAAGCTGCTTTATTCGTGACTAGTGTTTGTCGGTTGTTAAGCTTGCGTGGCTGAGTGGATAGTGCGTGAGACTCAGCATCTTTTGATTGCAGTAGGTTGCAGATTCGAATCCTACGCGTAGCCAAGTTTTTGCTAATTCGATGCTTATTTCTACTCTTTCTTATTTCACTTGATAGAGCTGCTTTTCGGTCGTATTCTCGCGAGTGTTTGGGAAGCGAAGCTTCGCCCTTGTGTAAAAGAAAGGCAAACTCCTCTATCGAACAGCAAAAGTGTATAGGTCACGAAAAAGGTGATCGATTTCCAGATTCGAAAGTGACATTTAACTATCAGATTTCCCAGAGAAATAAAAAATTTACTTTTTGATACAGTTTTCTGTATTGGGCTAATTTGGGTTAATTTTTATCAAAAAAGTAACGGTCTTTAATTGTTCTAGAAATTGAAAGAGCTTTTAAGTCATCTATTTTTTTCTTTGAAATTTGAGTTTTTTCAAAACCAAGTGTGTTTTTTTTCTGTTCTTGCGTCTATTGGCTTTTTTCCAACTGTTTCATGGCTATGTTTTGTCTTTTCATTATTTTAGTCAGAATACAGCAGTCAATGGAGCCTTGTCTCAAATTCTTTGAAATGCTGATTTTTACCTGATAGCAAAATTCTGAAAAAATCACCGATTTACCCGTTTTTCACAAAGGATTCTTTTTTTGTTTAAACGTTTGTTGAATGAGCTTTTTTAACCATAATTCTATCAGAAATATTTTGAAGGTTTTGTTGAAAATTATTGCAGTCAGTCAGTTTTCTGGCGTATATTTTAGTGTATCGCAGCTGTTGCGGAACTTGCATTCGTCATTGTGTTTACGGGACCTCCGTGTTTGGCTGTATGACAGCAAAACTTTAATAATGGTCTATTGTTTAGATCTGAACGGAGACTTGAACAGTAGTTCGAGGCACTGCTCCTCGTGGCAACGGAGGCTTCAGGACCTCAACCAGATGGAACAGAGTCCCCCCTTCGATGGTCACCACGGTGGGATGGGAGGACGGAGGGACGGAGGTGGAGGGGGGATCATGTATGGCCGCAGAGCAGGAGAAGGGGGCAAGGGTTCGTTCAATCATGGACCAGGTGGCACACATCCCTCTTCAGGAGGTGGAATCATTGCACCTTCCGGGCAAAACATGCCACCATACAGCCAGGTAATTGGTCACTCCGGAGCTTAAGAGACACCATAAGTTTAGATTTTAGATCTAACATAGCCTTTTAGAGCTTTTCATGCTGGCATGATGGTGAAAGTTTTGACAACATGCTTCCAATTATTAACGTTCAAACGTTTTTTTGGCAATCATAATCAAAATGTCAAGCATAATTGTTCCGATCGCTGAAAGTGGGGAGCAAATCTGTCATCACTTCTTTTAAGATTTATGATTTGTGTCCTGAACGTAGTGAAGACACTTATGTCGGTCGTGATGTTTTTTTTCAGAAAAAATTTTTGTTCACATTCAAATTTGATTTTTCGAATTGAATGATTTTCGATTTTTCAAATTCATTTCCTTTATTCCTTCCTATACTTCATTTCAGGAAGGCAAACTCCACCATCGAACCGCAAAAGTGTTATTTTTCTAGTTTTGAAAGTGTGTTTTAAAATTTTCGATTTTCCAGCAGAAAAAAACTTCCCGTTTTCTCAAATTGGGTTACCTTTATCAAAAAACGGCCAATCATTTATTTTTTTAAAAAAGGAATATTCTTTTTCAATAAATTTCGAAAATTGAAGTGATTCAGAAAAAAAAGTCTGTTTTTTTCTGTTTCTCTGCGTGCATTGAAATTTTCCAACTGTCTGTTGGCCATGTTTCTTCTACAACAAAATTAGGTACCTAAATATCCTTAAATTGGCTCGAGTTTAAAACCCTTTCAATCGTCAGTTGATCCGACCTAAAATATTGCCTTGTAGTTTTTAAGAGTAATGAGCGTATTCCAGACCGTGAAAGTTTTTTTTTTCAGGAAAAGCCTTAAAATACTGTAAAATTTGTTCGCGGTTTTAATTTTCACGTTTTTTCAAGTTCAATTCATTTCTTTTTTAAAAGGAAGGCAAACTACACTATCGAACAGAAAAACTATAAAGGTCTTAAAAAATGCGATTGATCCAGTTTTATCAAATTGGTTAGATTTTATCAAAAAGGGGTCAAACATAATCTGTTTGTGAAATTCAAAAGTGCTTTATAAGGCAAATTTTTTCTTTGAAATTCGCAAGCTAATGTTTTTTCAATAAACAAGTCGGTTTTTAAAAATTTTTCTTGCGTTCATTACTCTTTTTCAATTGTCAGTTGGCAATGTTCTTGATGTGTAATTTTCAATTCCTAAAAATTGAGAAAAGAAATTGTTTGCATTCTTATGAGAAAAAAATCGTCTTGTTTTTAATTATGGTTTTTGCGACAATAACTAGACATTTGAAGCCACTACTAATGTTTCTACAGTTTTTAATTGTCTATGAAAGCAGTGAAGATACTTATTTAGGTCGTGTAAATTATCTTTTTTTTAGGGAAAAGTCTTAGAAGCTATTCACTTTCAATTTTTTTTTGCGGTTCATAAAATGTCAAATATCGTGAAAAACTTCAAATAAAAAATACCTAGTGACCCAGTTTTCTTAAATTGGGTTAGAATTATCTGCTTTTTAGGGGAATGAAAGGAAAAGAGCGGCGTTATTAGAAAAGCGTCCAGTTGCAAAAGATTTTTTTTTTTGAAAAAAGCTTGAAGTAGATCCACATTTTTTCTTTGACCAAAATGCTGCTAATTTTTGAACAAACTGTTTTTAAACCCCCCACCCCCATTTACCTCTCTAAATGTGTTGGGAGTGACAGTGGTTGTATGATGAATGTATGTGGTTTTAGGGCAAAGGGGGAGGAGGGGTCTCACGGAGTGGGGGCACAGGAGGAGGCAATCTGTACAGGACACGCAGCTCAAACTGTGAGTAGAGTGGAAATCATTTTTCTGATAATTACTTCACGATATTTAAATTATTCAAATACAATTTGGATCACAAACAGATGGGAGAATAAAGTAAAATAATTGGAATCATGTTTTGTTTACTGTGATTTGCCAAACGTTTCACAACTCAATACATGGTATCTTGAGGCTACCCGTGCAAGAAAGCGCAGTTGACGCGTTGGAATCCTTGTTCAATTTCAAGAAAGTTTGAAAAATTAGAAATTTGAGATGATTGCGACATGATTTCAATCTGTAAAATAGACTTCTCAATGGATTTTCAATTGATGCTTTAGGCTTTGCACTGATGAATGTTAAAAAACAGGTTTGAAAGCAATTGGGTAAAAAATATATGCTCTAAAATTTGATAAAAAATCGTTTTTATTTTTAATACATTCAGAGAGTTATGGACTCAAGTGCAGCTGTGAAAACAAAATTCCACTGCTCCCTGATGAGTTTATTTGATTTGATTGTTCGAGAGACAATTTTTACACAACGAAGCGTAGTGTATTATTACGAAGAATTTTTTTAAACTTAAGTCACAAACAATCGTGCTCATTTGGTGGCACTTATAGTATCAATTTTATCATATTTCAGCTTTTTTAAGCATAAACAAATTATGGGCATAATTTTTGGCTAGTGTTAGGTCTTGTTCGAAGCAAAAATATGTATTTTGAAAATGTAATGGTTTGTTCGTTTTTTTGGCGACGATTTGGAAATTATATTTGCACTTTTTGCAGAAATTTCATTTTTTTTCAAAAACTACCGAAACGATTTTCAAAAAAGGTACCAATGGAAAACCGGCTGCTCTTATATGCGTCTGTATATCTCGCTTGTTTCTTTTCATTTTACCTCACGCTCTACAGCCTTTGAAAGTTTCAGTAGGGGCATTTTTGGCCTATTTTTTTTAAAAATTTTTCCATTTTCTCAAATATTATCTGCGCAAATCTGAGATGAAGGATTCAAGCAAAAGAACAAATGATGTGGATCTCCCCTTCTCATGCGGTTTTTCCCTAAAATTGGAAGAAAAAAGTTATAGCCTCAAACGAGCCCATTTTTTTGAGCCAAAGTGGAGGCTAAGCGTTTGTCCAAAAGAAAACAAAATCAGTTATGAGAAGCTTACCTGCGCAAGTGGCTACGCTCTGTATTCTGAAAAAAATGTTCTGAAAATCCCTGAGAATATGTTCAATGTCCATTTTTTGGAAAGTTTTTTTTTTCAAAAACTAACCTAATTTTGATGCTTATAGTTTCATAAAACAAAAATGGTGCTTAGACTTAACCTTTCTAATCGGTTTTACCCTGTTTTTTGTAGAAAAGCTGATATGGACGTCGGAAAAATTCCTTTTTAACTTTTTACCGTTTTTTTAAAAGAAATTTTGTTTTTATTCTGGAAAACTACTAGCTAAATCTGATATTATGGTTTCAATCTAAATAATCAGGGTGCGGAATTCTTCAATCTAAAAATCAGGGTTTGGAAAGCAGTGGCTATTCCCATGCCTTCAAATAGAAAAAAAAATAGATTTAGGAAAAGTCAAATTGTTGAATTTGTGGTATCTTTTTCACTTTTTTTTTTAAATTACCCGGCCAAATCTGAGACAAAGACTTCCATTGAAAGAGCGAGTAGTAGTTTTCTTCTTTAAATAAGTGGTTGTTTAAAACTGTATTTCAGAGAAATACAATGGTTTATCGTAACGTCCATTTTTTGAAGTTTTTTGAGAAATTACGCATCTAAGTATCAGTACACTACATGATTAAGAATATTAGAACAAATAGATCCAGCATTAGCTGTGCTACTAGTTTACTTCCAACCTACCGTGACGCAAATGCGAGGACATGAGACTCCTAATCAACAGGCCGGATATTCAAATACGGAACATTAAATAGTTTTAAAAAATTTTCAGCATAACATTGGCAATTTGATAGAAACTGCAGCTGCTTTATTGGTGGCTAGTGTTAGTAGAAGTTCAAGCGGTCGTGGAGAACTTGACACTTCTCAACAATTTTTCAAGCATTCGGTCGTGGAGTACTTGATACCTCTCAACAAAATTTCAACAATTTTTTTCAAGGTGCTTTTTTCAAATTTCCTTTTTTCACTTTGTTTTACAGGTTCAGTGATATTTTTGCATTTTCCTCGCTTGTGTTTGCGAAGCGCTGCTTCGCCTCTCTGTCAACATTGGGGATGAGCTGTGGAAAATGAAGCGATTTTGGGAGCAATAGGATTGGAAAACGCGTTTTATATCGACAAAAGAACACAATTTGATGAAATTAATTCATTTTGCCTCGTAAATGCCTCGAGATTAAAAACCATAAAACAAAAAACTGAGTGTTATTTACGTTAATATATGTGTTTTTTTTACAATGTTTTTTGTTTGTTGTGTTAAACAGTAGGCAAGAGTTTTTTTGGATCTTCTTGAAGTTTTTCGCATGTATCGATCTACTCAAGAATCTCTAAGTAACAACAGTAAATTTGCTTTGCTGCGTTCCGATTGGTTGAAAATTCGCAAATCTAGTCAACTTATTGGTCTCTCCTTAATTTTCCTTTCATCTCCCTCTCTGTTTTGAAAGGCGGCTGCACCCTTTCTTGAAAGTCGGGGGGATTGTGATATAGACCCCGTTTTTTTCACCATGAGCGGTCACGTATACGGGTTACGGCAAAATAGTCTGAATAAGATAAGCTGTTCACTGCTAAAGAATCCAGTCTGGTTGCTCGGAGACCTGCAGTTGAGTATACAGACAATTTTGCGATTCGATGCATTACTAAACATTAAGTTGAAAAATTTTAGAACGTAAAACACTCATATTTTTTATCCAATAATCCAATGGATTCAACTTCCGAAATTAGAAACAAGCACTCCTTCACTCGTCCTTTGTTACTCGCTGCAAAAGTAAGCGGAGCGTAGTATGCATTCACTTTGCCAATTTTCGCCATTTAGATTTTTTTTGTCCAAATGAGCACCCGAAATTTGTCCTTTTAGTAGCTTACTCAATTTCGCCAGCTCTCTGTGGGACAATGAAGAGTTCGAGTTTGCATTTTTTCTTTCCCAAGGAAAAAGGGCTGCACCTTTCTGCTAAAAGTTTCTTCATAGTGGGTGTTTCTGTATAAATGTCAATCTTAATGATTCGAACAAAAACGCGTTTTCATAGGGATCACACCTTCCAAAGTATCACTGTATTTTGGCGCCATAAGCTCAGTAGTGATTGCACAATAGGAGGGTTTTGTTAATCTTCAGTGTATTGGTGTACATATGGCTTTGTCGTGGGGCCATTTAAAGGTGGAGACCTCTTTTTGTTTGTTGTCCTCTGGAATTTCATGGACAAAAAGGCGTCGGAAAGTACCTTGGGAGCTAAATTGTTCCTCTAATTGAATCATTGGTATTGCTAATTACTTCGAGCTGAGCTCAGTTCGCCGAGGAGAGGATTAGAATTTTGGTCATTTTTTCGTTGTTTTTCTACAATTTGAATTCATGAAATGAAAATATACCCCTCGCCTTAATTTGGTTCGCGTCACTGCGTAGTGAAATTGGGACCAGTTACCCTCCTTTTTTTTAGAGAATAGATAATTTCTAGATTAAAAGAGGGCGGTTTTTTCAAGGCTGCTGCGTGATGAATTATTCAGAGCGTGTTATAAATCGTCCCCTAAATTGTGTTTTCACGCTCGGATGGAGATTACCAATTTCTATTATTTAAAGATGCTACCATGCGTTCAGTCAATTTAATAATATATTTGTAGTGATGCAAATTTAAAGCGGTCAGTTTTCCAGACAAAATTAACGAGTCAGTGTTTTCAATGCGTAGTTGATCCTACAGGAGAGACGAGAGACTATAGCTATGGTAGGGTTAGTTTTCAAATGACTGGGTTTGTCTGAGTTGGTGGATTTGAATAGACCATATGATTGCATAATGGATTATCCATGTAGTCTTGTTCTGGCCGAGCGGTCATTTGACAGAAAAATTGCTGTAGCTCAACTTAATATTCAGAGAACAAGTAAGTAGATCAGTGATAAGTGTGTTGAGAATTTTTCTATGCATTTCCCAAGTTGATGCAACAATTTTAAGTTTCTGAATATGATTGAAACGGAAACGTTCATCTCAAAATGAGATAGTTTTTTTCTCAAGTTGGAGGTCTAGGCGCTTAAGAGGGTTCCAAAATTAATTGAAATTTCATCGACTTTTAGGTCGATCAAATTGATTTTTCTAGCTCCCCTAGAAGAGGAAGAGGAAAGGCGCTGACTGTGGACCTTGTAGGTTTGAATACTCCAATTCGGTCAGAAGAAGCAAGAATGATCACCTGGGCAATATAGGATTATCTAAGCTCATTGGATAAACGATTTTTCTACCTTATAGAGTGTTTTTGTCGCAATTTGAGGCACGTTCGATATAAATGTTAATGTTCTAGTCCGGCCAGATTAGAGAGATTTGCAGCAATTTGAATGACTATTGGGAAAATGTATTTTAATTTCTTCATTTTTTGTCTCCCTTGCCGTATTCGGTTCTAGGTAAATGAGGCGACATGAAATTAAGACGACAAGACATAAAGAAAACTCAATAAATTGCAGTCCGCTGATTGGTTCATCCGTCACAAAAACTAGGCAAAGGAAACTTGCAATTTCAGCAGCGATCGCTAATTTTTGAAGTTTCGCCTCAGTCCTTTGTTAAAACTCTCCTTTGTCATCGTGAAAACAGTTTTCGTCTTAACATCTCTCGGCTTATTTTCCATACTCCATTCTACCACTGCCCGGCAGAGAATAGCGTCAAGGGGCTTTGTTGAAACAGTGTGACGTAGTTTCCCCGTGCGTGTTCAGACACTCGACATCCGCAGCTACATCAACAACGACCTAAGAACTCGATATCCGTGCAAATTGCACAGCTAAATATCGAAGTGTGCCATAAGTGTAGAATTCCATCTATCATGGTGCATTTATAAAGAATGTTGTTTTCACCCTTCGACTAAAATATAACTTTGACTAAAATGTAGTGACATG